TATGGTCACATGACTGAAATTTACAACATTTTTTGCCAATTTCCGGACTTTTGGTGGATTGCCAGCAAAAAACACCCATAGGGATATATGGATTTACTTAAGAGCTGCTATGTTTGCTTAACAACCATCACAAAAAAGTCATAAAATCAAGTCTGGTCAGATGGGTGTCCCAATTTACAACTGTCATGACTTATGGCCGAAATTCTGGGCTGCATTAGAATTGTAAGTCAAGGATTACTACCTGTATTGCAAATGGAGCAGCTGCAGGGGTGAAATCCAGCAGGTTCTGATAGGTTCTGGAGAACTGGTAGCAGAAATTTTGAGCAGTTCGGAGAACCGGTAGCGGAAATTTCGAGTAGTTCGGAGAACCGGCAAATGCCACCTCTGGCTGGCCCCAGAGTGCGGTGGGAATGAAGATTTTGCAATATCCTTCCCCCAGGAGTGGGGAGAGAATGGGATTTTGCAGTATCCTTCCCCTGGAGTGGGGTGGGAATGGAGATTTTGCAGTATCCTTCCTCTGCCATGCCCACCAAGCCACACTCACCAAGCCACACCATGCCCACCAAGCCATACCCACAGAACCGGTAGTAAAAAAATTCGGATTTCACCACTGAGCAGCTGGTATTGTTAGATTAGGGCAGCGTTTCTCAAACATGATAACTTTAAGATATACGGATTTCAACATCCAATATTTAAGTCCCAGAAGTCCACATGTCTTAAAGTTGCCAGGTTTTAGAAATAGTGGATTAGTGTGGTATTTTTTTTGAATCAGAGGAGTCATTAATAATAGAATGCTAAACCAAGAGAAAACTCAGCATTGCTGAAACACATCTATAAAATTAAGCAATTTTACCCCCATTGATTTTACCCTGAGATATTTAAATACATATTTGTAGTTGTATGTCCTACACTGTAAATTCCAAACTGTATGTTGAACCTTACTTTAACTTTATGGCTGTTTAAAGGGCTCTATAGATGGTGTGACTCTTGAATTTATACCCTGCTTTAATCAGTTATTTCCAATGTAGTTTACAGCAAATAAAGAATGAAAATAGAATGGAATGGAATGGAATGGAATGGAATGGAATGGAATGGAATGGAATAGAATAGAATAGAATAGAATAGAATAGAATAGAATAGAATAGATTTTTTTATTGGCCAAGTATGATTGGACAGACAAGGAATTTGTCTTGGTGCATATGCTCTCAGTGTACATAAAAAAAAAGATACGTTCATCAAGAATCATAAGGTACAACACTTAATAAAGAATGAAAAGATAAATAACTCAAATAACCAATGGCAAACAAAACCACCCATGATTGTTTAAATTAATGTAAAAGACTTTAGCAAGTTTACATTAAAAATGGGATAAAATAAAGCACAATTGGACAGAAAACACCACAATGAGATTGTGGCACTCAGAAACTTGTGCTCTGAACATACTTTTTAAAAATTGATGATGTTAATCAGAATTGGATTTTGTTTTTTTTCAGCATGCCTGGCATCAAAAAATCCAGGATATTCTGTTCCTGCCCCATATAAATACCCAACATTTTATGATATCTGTACACGTTCATGTTCTTCAAAATTATTATTACAGGTAATCCTTGATTTATGACCACAATCTGGACTAGAACTTCTATTGCTAAGCAAGGCAGTTATTAAGTAAACTGTGCCCAATTTTACAACCTTCTTTGCCATGGTCATTAAACAAATCACTGTGATGGTTAAGTGCAGCACGCAGTCATTAAGCGAATCTGGTTTCCCCCATTGATTTTGCTTGTTGGAAGTTTGTTACGAAGATCGCAAATGGCATCACGTGACACTGAGACTCTCCAACCACCATATATCTCGGGCCAGGGCCCGAATTTTGTGACTGCAGGGGTGCTACAATAGTTGTAAATCCAAGGACTGGTCATAAATCAGTTTTTTTCACTGCCATCGTACCTTTGAAGAGTCAGTAAACCAATGGTTGTAAAATTGAGGACTTTCAAAGTACCTTCAAAGCTGGATTTTTAAAAGTTTATTTTCCTTTTAAACATTTTTCCCAAGATCTATGGTTAAAGAAATGTCTTTCACATTTCTCTGTCTTCCAATGTTTGTTACCACTCCCATCCCCTATGCCCGTGATGGCGAACCTATGGCACACGTGCCACAGGTGGCACGCGGAGCCATATCAGTAGGCACGCGAGTATTGCCCTAGCTCGGCTCCAGTATGCATGTGCACGCCGGCCAGCTGATATTCGGGCCTTCCGCGCCCACCGGAAGTCAGGAAACAGGCAGTTTCCAGCCTCCGGAGGGCCTCCAGGCGGATGGGGTAGGCAGTTTTCACCCTCCCCAGGCTCCTAGAAAGGCTCTGGAGCCTGGGGAGAGGGAAAAATAGGCCTTCCGGTCCCACCGGAAGTCGGCAAATGGGCCGTTTCCGGCCTCCGGAGGGCCTCTGGTGGGGGGAGGGCGAAAAACAGGCCTACTGGGCCCACCGTGCCACCGCGTGCCAAAAGTAGGGGGACTCGTGCGAGCATGCATGGGGGGGTGGGGCGCATTGAATTATGGGTGTGGGCATATGTGCGCGCGACCCCCCGCGCGACCCCCACTTTTGGCACGCGATGGCAAAAAGGTTAGCCATCACTGCCCTATGCATACAGGATGTCACCCAGCAAAATTCAGGTAGTCCTTGATTTACAACCATTCATTTAGTGACCATTCAAAGTTACAACAGCACTGAAAAAGTGACTGGTGACCATTTTTCACACTTATGACCCTTGCCGCATCCCCACGGTCACATGATCAAAATTCAGACACTTGGCAACTGGTTGATATTTATGACGGTTGCAGGGTCCCGGGGTCATGTGATCAGCTTTTGGGACCTTCTGACAAGCAAAATCAATGGGGAAAACAGATTCGCTTAACAACCGTGTTACTAACTTAACACATGCAATGATTCACTTAACAACTGTGGCAAGAAAAGCTGTAAAACAGGGCAAACGCACTTAGCAACATAAATTTTGGGCTCAATTGTGGTCGTAATTTGAGGATTACATGCACAGATTAGTGAATTAATCCATTTCCTGCGTTTGTACTGTGTGCTAAAGCAGGTGTTAACCCTGCGGTCCTGATTCAGACAACATAATCAGCCACAAAAAGTAACTTCAAACCACACAAGTTTACAACATTTACCACCTTCCCCTGGATTGGAGTGTGCAAATGTAATTCTATTGTATCACTGTTGTGTCATGAAGGCCCCAAGAGTGGCTTTGGGACTCTATGTCCAACCGGGCTATTATGAGGAAAAATACAGCCAGTTTAGTGTAATGGTTAAGATACCAGGCTAGAACTGGGAGACTGTGAGTTCTAGTCCCACCTTGGCCACAAAAGCCAACTCCGTGATTTTGGGCCAATCACCAAGAGACTGTGAGTTTTAGTTCTGCCTTAGGCGTGAAAGCCAGCTGGGTGACTTTGAACAAGTCACTCTCTCTTAGCCCAAGGTTGTTAGCCCAAGGTTGTCACAGGGTTGTGGGGAAAACAGGAGGACGAAAGGAGTATTAGGCATTTTTGCCGCCTTGAGTTATTTATAAAAATGACAAACAAACAAATAAATAAGAGAAGAAATCTCTTGTTTGACACTTTGAGCTTCTGAATGCGATATAAATCTAACAAATAAATACCTTTATTCTAACAGAAATGTTAATAAAGTGTTTCTGGAAAAAAATGGCTCACCAGAAATTGTTGGAATAAGTTGATGCTCTGAAAGGCCACAGATCATCTCTGGGACAGAGATTCAGAAGACCTTTGGAGAAAACTGGGTTCAGCTGCTCCTCCATTTGGGATAGTTCGTGATGGCTTATTTCGCACGTCCTGCTAGGAGAAGTGGAATTTAGTTCCTTGCACGCACAAAGCCACAACTGGGTTAGAATAGAATAGAATAGAATAGAATAGAATAGAATAGAATAGAATAGAATAGAATAGAATTTTTTTATTGGCCAAGTGTGATTGGACACACAAGGAATTTGTCTTGGTGCATACGCTCTCAGTGTACATAAAGAAAAGATATGTAAACCATGATCAGAGGTGGGTTTCAGCAGGTTTTGACCAGTTCTGGAGAACTGGTAGCGGAAATTTTGAGTAGTTCGGAGAACCGGTAATAAAAATTCTGACTGGTCCCACCCCTATCTATTCTCTGCCTCCCGAGTCCCAGATGATCGGGAGGAAATGGGAATTTTGCAGCAACCTTCCCCTGGATTGGAGTGGAAATGGAGATTTTACAGTATCCTTCCCCTGCCACGCCCACTAAGCCACACCCACCAAGCCATGCCACGCCCACCAAGCCACACCCACAAAACCGGTCGTAAAAAAATTTGAAACCCACCACTGACCATGATTATTAGTGATGATTATTAGCCAAGCCTACCTCACAGGGCTGTTGTACAGATAAAATGTATACACCCACTCGTGACACCTAATTCAATCACTGACCAAATGCTAGAATTCAATTGCTACGGATTTAATAACGCTGCACTCATCTAATGAAATAAACACCATAACACACAAGGGATTATTGTACTCTTCCATTACAATGAGCAATTTTATCACATTTTTTCCCCATACAGATGCTTTCCACGCAACATAAAATGTTAACCTTTAGATTGAGCTGTTTTTATCTAAAGAGCTTTTAGAAACACCTCATTCCCGACACGTGCACGTGAGAATGAAACTCCAGGCTAACAAACCGACCACAAATGTCTTTTCCTTTAAAAAAAAAAAAAACACAAAACACAAAACACTTTGTGGGCGGGGCTAGAAAGCCATCCGGTTCGGGGCGGTCCGTAAAGTCTCTAGCTCACTTCATTTCCCCAATGTCATCCATTAATGCAAATTACCCGTCGCGGCAGAGCCAATGAGGAAGGAGTAGGAGGTGCCGTTTATGCAAAAGAGCATCCTTTCCAATCCGGCCCGTACTGTTTAACGCAAAAATCCGGCGCTAAATTGCCCAGGCAGGAGCTTTAATGCGCTTTGCAAAAAATATAATATAGTTTTGTTTCGTTTCTCTTAGCGCTTTGCGATTAACGCAATGCTGTTTGCAAAAAGAGAAGTTTATCCGGCACTGGCGACGGAGTTTCGGCAGAGCCTTTGCTGCTGAAGGAGGGAGTTTTGTGCTGAAACGCGAGCGGTAACTCACCTGAGCGCAGGTGTGCAAAAGGTAAACCATCCGCGAGGCTAATCCGTAAAGAATGAAGAGGGGGGCATGTTAGGGGAATTTGCTTTGGGGAGGGAAGGGGGTTTTGAAAGCTTGAGGTTCCCCTTCCTATCATTGCTTGACCCCCTCCTTAATTTTTGTTAAGTATTGGAGAGGTGGAAAAAAGTAGTGGATTACTCTGTTTTTGGTCAGCGACAAGTTGATCACAGTGGGGGGAAAAAAGGAAGGGATCCAAAAACCGGATAACGGTTTTTGACTTACCCAAAGGTAAAAAAAATATCAGCACAGCAGAGAGAGAGAAAAAAAAGGATAAACATGTAAACTTAAAGAATGCTGTCAAAAATATATATATATAAAAAGATAAAAAACCGGTCCAATCAAACGCCTGTCAAATATTATAGATTGTTTCAGCAGCATCTTTACAAATACAGTCTTGTTTAGGATCTGATGCAAACAGGGAAGTTATTGTGGGACGGGGATCCTGCAAATAAATCTTCAGGAGGTGGATCTTTAAAATGGTGCGGGAAAGTTTATTTTTGTTCACTAGCAAAAGGCCAGCTTCTGACCGCAAAGCACTTCTATAGGGTTTTTATATATATATATAAAATAAATATTTTATATTTTATATTTTATATATATATATTATATATATATATAAAATAAACCCTGTAGAATATATATATATATATATAAAAGATAATCAGTGTCTGGTAAATTTATAGGTCCAGTAAGAAAGGAATATGAGGGGGGGGGACAAGAAATCAGGAATGCTAGAAGTTTGATGTTTATTTATAAAATTTATATGCCACCCATCTCACTATCCGAAATGACTCTGTGTGGCTTATAATACAATAAAAGCAGAAATATATATAAAAAATAAAAGGCTGGCATTTTGCTAAACACAGTCAAAAGTTGCATGATTGCCTCTGCAATTTGGTTTTAGTCTTTCCCGGTTTCCCCTAATAATATGATAGTACTTGCTCAGTGCGGAGGTGCATATATTTAATAAATAAGCAAATGAACAATGATCACAGCCACTAGTTGCAGTGAGGAATAATGGTATAGTACAAGTTAACTGTACTTGTTCTGTAAAGAAAGTTTATGATATATGAAAATGTTTTATCTTATTTTAATACAAACAATCCATCTTCCATTAAACAGTGTGTCATCTGGGTACAAATGTCTTGTGCCGTAACAATTGATATTTACAGCCGTATTAATTATTTATCTATTCTTAAACTTAATATTGATATACATACTGTCTCATACTGTAACAATCCTCTTCTTAACTTATTTAATTCTATCGTCTACTTTTATTTCTAACTTTCATATTTTCTAGCCATCGGTAGAATAGTTCCCATACATTATAATATTCAGTTTGTTCCTTCTCTTTAATTGCAAGTGTTAACTTATTAATTTCTGCACATTCTAATATTTTCCTAATCACATTCTCATCTTCATTATTCCAGTTTTGTGCATATACAATCCTAGCCGCAGTTTATGATATATGAAGTGATTTTGAGCAAGAGATAGCACCATCTTGTTTTTTGTTTTTTGTTTAGTCTCGCGACAAATTCAGTGAGATTTCTTGGGTGCAAATCACACTGTATATTTAAGAGTCTTGTATTAGTAACATACCTATTGATGATCAACAACAGAAGGCATAATTTTTACAAAAATCTAACCACATTCCCTCAATTATAGGCAATGTAACCTTCATACCCTTGAAATACAATATAGTTGCAATTATACTATTATTATTTCCACCATTATTGGTATCTTCTTGAAGGGAATTCTCTGTTCGGGATCTAATTTTCAATAACCATATAAACAGCCTCAATATCCTAGAGGGGGAAATGAGGGCTTAATTGTTAAATTTTATAAGTATCATTCTTACCGTAGTTTCCCAGATTTGGGGCAAATTCTTCCTAGTTAAACAAGCATGGCTTAAATTCTTCGTTCTGGGCAAGACACGTGGAACTCATCAGGCAATGACAGTTTTAGATCATGAAGATCTGTACTGGATTCAACCCAAAAAAACCTATACTGGTACTTACCCATTTTTTTTCCTTCATTACACAAAACCGTTTATTAGGAAGTCATAGCGAACTTCATTAAGTCCCTTTTTTTCAACATGGTTGCAATTTTGAATGGTCGCCGAAGGAATGGTTGTAACTTGAGGACTAATGGCATGATGAAAATAATATCATGGAATTATCTTTAGGTCATTTTAACAGTGACCTAACTAAAATTGATAGTTTAATCAATTTTCACCTTCATAGGAACACTTTTGGATATTTTCGAATGTATATTTAGTTCACGTGGCAATTTTAAAGTCAGTGTAAATATCCCTGCTGTGATGCCTAATTTGTTCATAGGTCGTTACCCCCCCCAAAAAAAAACTTTTCCCCAATTTTGGATAATTTACCCAGCTTTGGGAAGCACTGATCTCTATAGCAGGGGGCTAGGAAGAAAACCTTTTCTGCTGAATAATTTTCCCCCAGAGGTGAGGCAGGCCCCCATTCTCCTAGCCTTCCAAGAGTTAAAACATAGCTCTGTAGCGTTGTGTGGGGTGCCTAAAGAAGCACATGGGGTTGGTTGGTGCCATGCAAGCCCTCTCTTCATCTTCATCATCTAATTTTAACAGTGTTTAATTATTCTTGCCTCTTTAAAAACTGTTATAATTTTTTTTTAATTTTAATTTAATTTTTTTTTAATTTAAAAAAAAAGATGTTGAGACTCTAGAAAGAATGCAGAGAAGAGCAACAAAGGTGATTAGGGGACTGGAGGCTTAAACATATGAAGAACGGTTGTTGGAACTGGGTATGTCTAATTTGATGAAAAGAAGGACTAAGGGAGACATGATAGCAGTGTTCTAACATCTCAGGAGCTGCCACAAAGAAGAGGGAGTCAAGCTATTCTCTAATAATGCACCTGAAGGCAGGAGAAGAAGCAGTGGGTGGAAACTAATCAAGGAGAGAAGCAACCTAGAACTAAGGAAAACAATTAAAACAATTAATCAGTGGAACAACTTGCCTCCAGAAGTTGTGAATGCTCCCACACTGGAAGTTTTAAAAGAAGAGATTAGATAACCATTTGTCTGAAATGGTGTAGGGTTTCCTGCTTCAGCAGGGGTTTGGACTAGAAGACCTCCAAGGTCCCTTCCAACTTTGTTATTCTATTCTATTCTGATTGTAAAATTTGAATTATTAACATTTTAATTTTCATAGACTGTTTTATATTTTGATGTTTTATTCTATACCATCCAGAATCCCTCTTTGAGGCAGATAGGGAATTCAGATATATTAAATATAAAATGAATGAATGAATGAATGAATGAGGGAGGGGAAGGAAGGAAGGAAGGAAGGAAGGAAGGAAGGAAGGAAGGAAGGAAGGACTTGCATTCTGGCCCAGCGTGGTAGTTTTGAGAAGCCATAATTCCTTAACTAGGAATTGGGAGCAAAAGTATTCTTGGCCTCCACGTTGATGTAATTTCTAACCACGACGACTTGTAGCCATGATTTTTCTCTAATTTCCTTTTAGAGCTGTTCCGAGTTCGTACATCTTGTGCTGGTGAGTTCCATAGTTTTAGGTATGCACTGCATGGAGAAGTCCTGAGTCTCCCACCATTTAGCTGTCTAAATAATATTCTATCTCTACAAATCCTTTTGCAGTCACTGAAATGATATGGTCGTGTCCAGGTTATCATACTACTGTATTGGCAATTTTGTTTGATGTTCCTTTCGGGAACATGGGAAAGGATGAAGATCCTGTAATTCATCTCCTTTGCAAAGAGTTGGGAAACATTTTAAAATTGATTGGAGTGGGGGATGTTTATGGATAATTAATGTAAATAATAATTGGGTTAAGATTTTAAAATTAAGAACTCCTCAAATATTTTTAGGCCCATAGCAAAATGCTTGTGTTCTGGAATACTGTGGTACAAAGTAGAACATTATATTTCATGATATTGATTTCAGCCATTTTAAGATTCGAGAAACTTTTTGCAACGTCCTAGACAAATATGAGGCTTTAATTCTGAATTTGAAAACCAGGGTACATGTTTATTATACACATTTTAAAGGGTTTTTTTTTATCCCGCTTTAATTATTTTTATAAATAAGGTGAGAAACATATCTAATACTCTTTCCTGATAGTTTTCCCATAAAAAGAACTCTTGGATTGGGTTGAGAGAGAGAGTGATTGGTCCAAGCTTGTATCTGGAATATAAAGGATTTATATTTACAACAAATATTAGATTGTATAAAGCCACAAAGTATATTGACCTGAAAATAATTATACCAACGATCAAAATACTTGTGCTTGATAGGGAAAATGCAATGAACGTTTGCAGGTTATTTAGAAATGATGAAAAACAAGATCAAATAAATGAATTAAAGTACAGGTAGTCCTCGACTTAACGACAGCAACCAGGACCATATATTCACATCGCTAAGTGGTTTAGTGAGTAGTGCCTGATTTTACGACCTTTTTTGCCATAGATGTTAAGCAAATCAGTGCAGTTGTTGAGCAAATTGCATGGTCACAAAGTGACTCCAGCTTCTCCCATTGACTTTCGATGTCAGAAGCCGGCTGGGAAGGTTGCAAATAGCGATCACATGACTCTGGGACACTGCAACTGTCATAAATACATGCCAAGTTGCCAAGCAAATTTTGATCACATGCCTGTGGGGAAGCTGTGGCAGTTATAAATGCAAGGACTGGTTGTAAGTCACTTGTTTCAGTGCTGTTACAACTTTGAACATCTGCTAGACGAATGGTTGTAAGTCGAGTGTCAAGGTTCCCACTGACAAACCCAAACAAGGAAGCACAATCAAGACGATCCAATCTCTGAATGCAAAACTTTATTGAGTACATCATTTCGGCACTGATGAAAGCAAAACCAGCTCTAGCTAATTCCCATGCAATTCACATAATTAAAGTACAGAGTTCCCCCCACCCACCCCCTATTAGTGCAGTCACATTGTCCAATTAAATGTCAT